ACAGTTCTAAGTGCAAACACTTCTCTGCCTATGCCTCACACACTGGGAACATTCTGATTAGACGTTTATCATCGTGGCACAGTATTTCCCCCTTTCGGTGACATTTCCCTTTATTAAATAGCTTATTAGCCACTTTATAATCGAAATGAATTTTGTTTCATTTATTCATTATTAGAAGGCATGATTCTGCCATCATTTCATGTTTGTTTGATGGATTGAGAACTATGAAAGAACTGGTTTTAATCAGAGTACACCTAATTCCTCAGCACGTGGTTTCACAGGCTGAGTGGCTTGTTTGAACCATGCTCACAGATTTCATGAGAATAGCTCTGACGATGATGCACCCCCTAAACAACAGAAGAGCCCTAGAACTGTTTGTGGGTCCGTTCGCTCCCAGGCTTCTCACCCCGGGAGGTCCGTCAACGCAAAATAGTTTACACTTTCATTCTCTCTAAGCATTGTCATATTCTAAAGAAACAAACCAGATTATCCCTTTGAAACAGTGTGGCGCCCCCCCTTGTTCTCGGAAAGCTCGTCAGGTCCCTTACACTCTTCCTCTGGGAAGTGTCACTGTGTCCGAGCAACCCGAGCACCCGGAGTCGGCCTGGAGCTTCCTGCCGCCTCCGATTCCGTCGCGAGAGCTGCCTTCTCAGTAATGATGCAGGTCAACCCACAGGGCTGAGGGACGAGGATGATTTTGCAGAGTAAACAGTTTAACTGTTCCAGTGGTTGTTTTTTTTACCCAAAGTTGGACATTCCGTTCTCTAATTATTTTGGGCTTTTCTCAGGAATAAACTAAAAGTTGTGATTTCTGTGTGTGTCAGACTTGAAGGATTTGAATAAAGAAGCCACAACTTAAAAGAAAGTTCCTGCTGGTACTTATGGAGTAATTGTGGTCACTTTCACACAGTCCTGTGTGGAATTCCGGTCGGCGCTCTAATAGCCTAATAATTCTTAGACTATGAGACCAGGAATAGCTGCCAACACAAACTGTCATTTCTTTTCATCTAGTACACTTTAACTTTTAAAGAAGTGGACTATTATTTGGTTTCTCTTCAGTTTTTTGAACTGATTTCTTAATAGACAATAAAAGTAATTTCTAGACAAACTGCTTTCTCCGATGGACCTTCGGGCAGGCACATGTGTTACGGCTTCAGTGACCCAGCGGTTCCCACCCTGTGGGCTGCGACCCCTTTGGGGGTCGAATGACCCTTTCACAGGGGTCACCTAAGATGATTGGAAAACATATTTCTGATGGTCTTCGGAACTGAGACACCGCTCCTCGATCCGTCTCCAGGCGGGTCCCCCCCACACAGATACACCCACAGACAGCATGAGGACCTGTGTCAAAGGGTCGCGGCACTAGGGAGGTTGAGAACCAATGAGTTGTCAAAGAGCACTTTGAACAGTGTTGCCATTTTGAAAAGCAAATGTGATTTCACGTGCATTTTGACAGACGGGAAATGGCAGCTGTGATGCCCTCCCGCGGCAGCGTGGGGAGGGTCGGCCTACGGCCGCTTGTCCCCTCGCAGCTGTGGGCTGCGTCCCTGCAGCGCCCGCTCCTGGCGCTCCCGCGGCCCTCGCCGGCCCTCCCGGCCTCTGCCCCGCCTGCTCTTAACGTGGGGTCACCCAAGGGCAGGTGTTAGGAGCGCTTCTACTTCCTTCCCCAAGGAAGTGTCCCCGCCTGCACCCCTCCCATCACCACTGTCCACACCCACCTGCCCAGCGTGCCCGGTGCCCTTGGCAATCGCCCAGCACCTTAAACCCAACTCGCCACAAACCAGACTGCCCGCCGTTCCCACGCCCTCCCACGCCCTCCCTGTCGCTCTTTCCGCCCCTGCTGTCACTGCGGTCCGGTCGTCCGGTGTCAGAGCCTGGCGGTGTCTCCGCTCCTCTTCCCCCCCGCTGCCCTCGCCATGGCCCCGGCCCCGGGCCCGCCGGCCCTCTCCCAGGCCCGCTCAGCGCAGCCTCTGCGGCGGCCCCTGGCTTCGCGCTGCACGCCTGTGTCCTCGGGGGCTCTGGGCATGCGCAGGGCGGAGGCCGCAGCACGCCTGTGTCCTGGGGGGGGCACTGGGCATGCGCAGGGCGGAGGCCGCTGCACGCCTGTGTCCTGGGGGGGGGGCACTGGGCATGCGCAGGGCGGAGGCCGCTGCACGCGGAGAAAATAGGCCTTGGCTTTGGCACCGGGAGGGAGCACGTGACCGTGGTGAGACCGGCTCGGGAGAGCAGGGGGCAGGAGCAGTCCGGTGTGTGCTCAGAGGATGGGGGAGGCGAGGCAGGAGTGGGGAACACGTTTCTGTTTAAGACTAGGGATGTGCACATCGCCTTTGCTTTTCTTCTGTGAAAGGAAAATAAAAACCAAAAAAAAGCAAGTTTTTTTTTTTTATTGTGGCAGATACCAGACAATGTTATTATAAATCCTAATAATATCATATATGCATATGTAATATGTGTGTAGAGTATAGCTGTGTGGACGATCCGTATTTCGAGAAGCATAGTAACCTTAGCTTGAACATGCCATAGTAAGGATGGCTGAAGCCCTGGCGTGCAGGTCAGTTTCCTCAGGGAATAGCGTTCACATATGTATTCGTTCCTTCCACACGCGAGTTCCATGCAGGAGTGTGCCAGGCACTGGCCGGGCCTGGCATCTGACTTGCAGACACAAAGAGGAGAGAACCCCGAGCTTCAGTCTCACCCAGACATGGGAATGAGTTACCTTGGACACCAGAGGCATAAAGCCCAGCGGGGTATGACTCAGCCCTCGAGATAGGCCAGGGAGAGCAACCACTGAGCAGACCAGGTGGGGCAGCTTCCCCACAAAGAACAAAGAGGTCAGAGGGAGAAAGGCAGCATGGAGAAGCGCGGACGTATTGAATTGGAAGTTGGTGTGTTAAAAGTCCAGGCTGTGCCTGCCTGCCGGCCACGTGGGCCAACGCAAGCCGTATAACCTTGTTGAGCCTCAGTTATGTCCTCTCTCACATGGATGAAATAATACCTGCTGCACAGGATGGCAGAGAGGGTTAAAAATCACATCCCCTCAGTCGATGGTGATCGCTCCCATTGCTATTGATAGTCTCCAGGACGTGGACAGGACTCTGAGTCTTCACTGCAGCTCAGCGTGGCCAGAGCTGGAAGACGAACGTCCCTGAGTGCCGACTGTGCTCAGAGTACTGGAGCGTGGTGTGAGCACTGCAGTGTGGGAATGACCATTGTTAGATCTAGGCTGAAGATCCCCCTGACAACAGTGTGGGGTGAGCTGGGGAGCAGGAAAGAGTGGGGGCAGGAAAATATGCATTCCTCAGCTGCCCAAATGGGTCTAGAACCCCAGGAAAGGTTAAGAAATGCTGTCTATATCCGTATGCAGAAAAACTGTCATTGCATTGAAAGAATGTGTGATGGACACTAACTTAGACACTTTGAGCTCCAGACTCGCACTCTGCTACCTCACATCCGTTGGAACGTGTCACAGGAATTCCAAACTTAACGTAGCCCAGGCTGAGCTCCAGACCTTCCCCCTGACACTGCGATCCCTGGGGCCTTTTTCCCCATGCTCAGCACCCACACCTCAGGGCTGTCATTGCTGTCTTCGATTATGTCGGGGATCCGACACTTCCCTCGTCCCAAACTGCTACCATCCTGGTCCAGTTCTCCGTCATCCTGTCCCATTACAGGTCAGTGGCTTCTGCCCTGCCTCCCTACTTCTGCTCTTATCCCTCTTCAATATAGTCTCCACGGCAACAGCGCAGCATCTTCCCACAACCCTCCGCGAGCTTCCCGTCTACGTCTGAGTGAAACAGACAGTTCTTGACCCTTGGTATGTCCCTGACGTTGCTGCTCCTGTGCTCACTCTTCACACTGGCCTTTGCGGATTCCTCCTGCAGGCTACCGCAGGGTCTTTGCATTCACCGTGTCCTGCTTGGAAGGTTCTTTCTGCAAACATCTGTGTGACTTGCTCTCTTCTTCAGGTCTTTGCTCACTTAGGCCTTCTTGGACCATAAGTTTAAAATTGCAATACCCCTCCCCCACCCCACTCCAGAATATCCTCCTTCCGCCTTTATTTTTCTTCTGTACTTGTCCTGACATATATCATACTTACGGTTTGCGAATCGTCTGCCCCCAATATAGTGTAAGCTTCATGAGAGCAGGGAACTTCTTGTCTGTTTTCTGTCACTGCTCTTTCTAACCGGAACGGGTCCTTGACATACAGCAGAAACTCAGTAGTCTTGGTGGAATGAATTGTGTTTTGAGAATTTGGCATCTTTGTAGTTATCATCTCATGTGTTCTGCTCACTGTAAACTTCTACGTATTATATCTACAGTTATATCGGGTGCTCTGAATGGATTCTGTTTCTTTTCTAGTTCACCTCTTGACTTAAAATAGTAATTGATGTAATGATAACTACTGATCTCTGTGGTTTGTAAGTTCCCTGTATTAACCTGAATTCTATTTCTCAGAGCTACTTGGCAACTGAAAGAGTTCATCTCCGTTCACTTCTTACAGGTTCCTCAAATTCTGCACCACCCTCAATGACCTCGTAGAGACGTTTCTGTAAGGTTACCACAAGTTACTCAAATTGCCATAGTAAATTTTGAAAAGTGTCATGTTGGTCCAATATTACAATTCCTAGCTGTCACAACACTTTTCAGAGTGTGAGTGTCCTTTGCAGGTGCACCGACGGAGCTGTTTTCATTAGCAGCAGTACTGTGCTTTATTGCATGCTTGTGGCTCTACGCTGGGAACATCAGAGCTGTTTTTATAAAATAAACTGACACCTGCTAATGTGTCTGTTTTATAAGTTTGGAATTTTTATACTAGTTATTCCTAAAGTGGAAAACATCTGGGCCTGACATTTAAAATCTGGTTTTGTTTGCCTAACTCTTTGGAACAACAGTAATAGGTTTGAGATCTGAGGCCTTTTTGGTGCCAGTTCAGGTGATAAAACTGTTTTTTCAAGGGTGCTAGTTTTTCTCGTTTACATGTTTGTCGTACGCTGTTTCAGGCTTTGCACAGTGAGCTGGAAAACCGTGCGAACCAAGTGCGATGTGCAGAGAAGAAACTGCAGCACAAGGAACTGGAGGCACAGGAGCAGGTACCCACCCCACCCCCGGCTGCTTGCTCATGTCCTTTCGCCACAGCGAGGAGCTCATGTGTTTCCTGTTTCCACTGGGATGCTCTGGCTGCACGTAACAGAACCCTCCCCTCCGAGCTGGCACGCACAACAAAGAGACGTATTACCTCACAAAACCAGAAGTCTGTAGGTAGGGCAGGCTCCGGGCAGAGAGCCTCGAGGCCCTGGCTCGCCTCTGACATTCCTGTGGCTCTTCCCGTGTTGACTTCATCCCGAAAGCAATTCCAAGGCATCCCATGCAGACCTAGCAACATCCAGAGGCAGAAAGGGACTGACTGTGTCTAAGGCCCCCTTCTGAAGAGTAGGGAGACCTTTTCCAATACCCCCACCCTCCTCCCTTTGCATCTCAATGGCCAGAACGTGTCACATGCTCAACCTGGCATGTCTGACCCCTGGCCAGAGGACCAAGGGTACCAGAACCAGCCTAGACCTTGGGGATCTGCCTCTGGGAAGAGAAGGAGCAGGAGGGAGGGCAGAGGGACGTCGGCGTGCAGCCAGCAGTCTCTGTCACGCCGGTGCTTCACCACAGGTGGGCAGAGGATCGAGACGAGTCTCGTTTGCTTCGAGTTGGAATTCTCTCCTCTCTAGTATATTAATAAAGCAAATATAACCAGAATAATCTGGCTATGATGATAGCTAATGACCTATTTCATTTTCAAATAGCAGGATTATTTTTATTTAGTTCTTGTGGTTATAGTGAATTATTCCTTGTGGTAATTTTGACAAACTAAAAAGTCAACAATGTATAAAGAAGGTCACGGGTCTCAATGAAGCCTTTATGAAGGCATTGTCCTCAGCTGTTGGGCACAGCACTGTTAACATTGTCCTGGCCACCACGCCTCACCCTGGGTCCCGCCACAGGTGAATTGTTTGCACATAAGTTCAGTACAGGAATGTCAGGTTATGTCATTTTGACCTTATGGGAAGAGTAAACACTGAAGTAAGCCTGATAGGGAAACTTTTCTCATCTCTGGGCATGTTTACAAAAGGATCTCGAGGTAGGGACTGAACAGAACAGTGTACATGAGCATCTGGTAGACTGAGTATTAACACTTACTGAATTGTTGACTTCTTATAATTACTTCCTACTCTGTAATATATACCCAACATAATATCCATGTCGTATATATATGTATATAACATATGTATAAATTATACACACACACACATATATATACACACACACACATATATATATATATTTTTTTTGCATAGGCCTATGTCATACAGTCAATAGTAGGATCACAAAATAAGATAACACTAGAATGAAAATTAATAACTACACTTTATGAAAGGCTACAAGATAACAGATACTATACAAGAAATATTATACACGTTAGTTCATTTATGCTGATAACCACCATAGCTATAAAGCCAGGGTTATCACACCCATTTCACAGAAGGTACAGGAAAACCCAGAGAGATTGAAGAACTCGCCAAGGTCATAGAACTAGTAAATAATACAGGTGTATTCAAATCCACGTTTATCTGAATTCCAATCTTTGCTCCTTTTATGATACTTTTTGAGTTACTTTTTTTTTTTTATCCTCACCCGAGGACATTTTTCCATTTTTTTGTTCAGATAGAGTGGAAGGGAAAGAGAGGAAGAGAGAGAGAAACATCCATGTGAAAGGGACACATCGAGTGGCTTAAGTTACATTTTTAGTTCATAAAAAACTGCATATCCATGGCCGGTTTGGCTCAGCAGTTAGAGCATCAGCTCATGGACCAGAGAGTCCCGGGTTCGGTTTCTGCTAAGGACACGTACCTCGGTTGCAGTTTGTCCCCGGCCCCAGTTGAGGTTGTGTGGGTGGCAGTCACTTGATGCGTGTCTCTCTCACATCAATGTTTCCTCTTTCTTCCTCCCTCTTTCCCTCCTGCTCTGTCTGAAAATAAATGCAAAAATGTCCTCGGGTGAGGATAAAAAAAATATTTAAATTAAAAAAGCTGCACAGCAGAGACAGGGAAGTTCCTGTACTAAGGGTGGCAGGAAAGCAGACATATGTCCCAGACGTCTGGTGCAGTTGCATTCGCTTCCCATGGCAGAAGAGCAAGAGCAAAGGGAATGAAAGCAGAGCAGGTGTGGCTACAGGCAAAATGCCTCCTTGGATGCTAGTGTGGCAGTTGAGTGGAATGGTAGGTTTCATTGTCACTGAAGGTCAGCTGGGCTCCACCTTCTGTCTAGGATGCTTGTAACTGAAGAAGACAAGCTTCTTAAAAGCAGGAAATGGTGCTCCCTGGAGGACCAGGCTTCTTCAGTTTGTGATAAAATATGACTTAAGGTAAAACTTTGTTGACATCACTTTAATTCATGGCAAAACTTCACACAGGAAATTCCATAATATGTTGAGAGTAGGGAAATTAAGAAATCCCAAATGAACAATGGGGAAGGATTCAGGAACCACTTCAGTCTCTTTTTATTGACTTCTTTTTGATCATCAAAGTTGCTTTCATCTTTGTAGTGACAATAGCTTTTGAGACTATTTCTTACACTAATTCCTGATATCTTTTATTAGGCTACCAGTTTACCAAAGAAATGTCAGGAAATACCCCTGGGTAAAGCTGAATATTTCATAATCTGTACAACTATAAAATGTTGGGTCCTTTCCACGAGATCCTAGGGGGTAGCTAGAAAAAAATGCCAATTGCTTCAACAAAACTGTTGAGCAATAATGGGTACTTGATAAATACTGCTTGTGTTAATTTAGTTTAACTTTTATTTTTATCTAAATTTGACCTATGCCCACCTATCAATTTGTGACACAAATAGAAGTAGTTAAAATAATTAGAAGCACTGTCTTGTACATTTTTAGGGTCCATTTATATATGAGCTTACTTAGGATATTTAAAACCTTGAAATTGTTGCATATGATTTTCCTTTTGCATCTGTGAAGCACACGGGGGTCCCAGTCACTGGCATCAGTCAGTTAAACGACTGGAACATGTGCACATCAGCCAATCAAACAACCAGAACACGTGCACATCAGCCAATCAAACAACCGGAACACGTGCACATCAGCCAATCAAACAACCGGAACACGTGCACATCAGCCAATCAAACAACAGGAACACGTGCACATCAGCCAATCAAACCGGAACACGTGCACATCAGCCAATCAAACAACAGGAACACGTGCACATCAGCCAAACAACTGGAGCGCATGCACTTCAGCTTGAAACTTCTCTTTCTCTTCAACCAAATGTTATTATCCTGATACTGGTTGCATAAAGAGTCAAAATTGAAACTGGCAGAATTACAAAGGATAATTTCCTGGGCTTTTTTTAACTTGCTTGCTTTAAAAAAAAAAAAAAAAAGCTTAAACTGTTTCTGTTTTTCATTTAAGAAAAATTTCTGTGTTTTGATTCTATGAAAACAAAAAATGAATGAGGCATTTTAAAAGTTATGTTTTTAATTAAAAACAAAAAGCTGCTTCCCATCAGGTCTTGATGGGTGGTACCCTTGCTGCTGCCCACCCCTTGCCTCAGTGCCGTCAACTCTCCCAAGTCCTCACCCTTGGCGGGTCAGTCAGCTCCGGGCCCAGAGGAGGCTTGTTCTTCATAGTTACAGAGGGTTAGTTTGTTCCTTATGCAGGTTGAAGATAACGAAATAAAATTAGAAAACACTAGCTTTCTAAGTCAGCCTTGCAGAAACATGATTTTGTTCTGTAATTCACAAATAGTAAAGTAATTCAAAATCATCATTATTTTAATCCATACCAGGAGTTAACAGTTTCTAATTCCAGATAAAATCTGAGCAAGAATCCATAATTGCAGCAAACAAGGGGAGATCAGAGCTCCGATCCAGCTTCCGCATTGTACAAGGAAACTGAGTCATCAGAAAGGATGCGACTCCCCTAACACAGCAGTGGCAAACCCAGGGCAGGACTGCTCCTACCCCGTGGTTTGTGGCTGCTTACTCCCAGGATATTGTACTTTGCATATAGCGAACACTGTGACATGGATATATGTAGTGTATCTTCAGATTCCGGAGCAAACAATGTCTCATTATTCACAATGAGACTAAGTAATTTGCTAACCCTTGCCAAGATGATTCAGTCTGCTAAATTATAGAAAAGACAGGAAAGAAAAGAAATAGTTTAAAAATTCACTTGTATTATTAACACTGTACAAAGAATATATTTTTCACAAAGGCACTAAACAATGTCAGATTTTAACCTAATGTGACGTAGATAATAGTATACATGTAGCAGATCCCCTGGATGGAACTAGGTGTCTTAAGATTTGAAAGTATTAATAGCTTTGATTACATTGGTTGCTCAGTTTTCCAGAAAATTATTTTAAATACATTAGTGAGAAAACCAGCAGAGATCCCCTATTCAGTAAAATACAATGCTGTGCATTTCTCAGCAGGGTCCTGCGGTTTTCATTTAACTCTGGAAGGGCACATTGTGCTGGTCAGTGGTGGGTGCCAAGAAGAAACAAAGATGAGTGTGCTACCAGGGAGGAATTCACAGTCTACCGGAGCAGAGGAGACGTGTAGGCAGCGCAGACTCCCACATGGGATTGAAGGAGGTTCTTTCTCACTCTTGTAAGTGGCTTAGTGCCTCCGCAGCACAAGTGTGGGAAGAACACAGCACTGGGCCGGCCATGCTCCCTGACCCCGCGAGGGAGGGAGAGGAGGCTCTGCAGCTTGTCCAGGTCAGGGTCCCACTGCCCAGGCAGGCCTTGGACTGCTGGCACACCTTCCTGTTAAGAGCCTGCGGCCTCAAGGGCACTGGGTCCTTCTGGGCAGTCAGAGGAGGGGCAGCCTCTCCGCCAGCTTCTTGGGGACCACCTGGGCTCCCACCTCCCTTGTTGCCAGCAGCTCCTGGAGGGCCTCTCTCGCTCCCGGGCCAGTGTTTTCTAGCGGCCACCTGCTTTGGGTGCACATCTTACCAGGTGCATCCAGGTGTCAAGGATCTGGACTGTGCAGGCATAACTAACCCAGAAATTATCTTAAA